CCCTTCACCGTTCCTGAATTTCTCCAGTACCCTAAAGAAGCTCTGTGTCCCCTAAGCGTGTGTCTGCCTTTCCCCTAACCCACGCCTCATAACTGCTAATAAACATTGGTCTCTATACACTTGCCTACTCTGGATAGTTCATAGAAATGGGATCATACAATATTTGTCCTTTTGTAACTAACACCTCTCTCTGCACGTTTTCAGAGTTCATCCATGTTGTAGCACACATCAGAATTTCATTTCTCTTTATCAACAGTGTCCTTTCTTACATGTATGTGGCTCCCTGTGGGCTTCAAACAGAGAGGCTGCCACACCCCTGGTCTTGCCTCTGAGCCCCAGGGACCCAGCTCTCCGGGCCTGCAGCCTCTCGCTGGCAGAGCTGGGGACAGGGAGGGGGGAAGAATATCTAAGGAGGGCACCCCCACAGCACAGGGTGCAGCACCAGCACTGGGACATGGGTTGTGTATTAGCTATAAATCAGGGATAACGGAAGCCAGGTTTCTGTTGGTGACGGAGAACAAATGTGGAAGGAAAAGCAAGTAGAACGATCCCTGTGGTATCGGATTACGCTTGCAGGTATCGTGCTAAACGCCTGGTTTTCTAGATAGATAGAGAAATGGGTGGGTGGGTGGATGAATAGATATGATGGATGGATGGATGGAAGGATGGAAGGAAGAAGGAAAGATGGAAGGAAGGATGGATGGCTGGATGGATGGATATGATGGATATGGTAACTGAATAGAGATATACACGGGTGTGTTTATGTACATACACACATCTGTCCCTAGCTGTGTCCACTCAGAGGGCCTGTGACAACACCCGAATAGTAACCACCATGCCAGATCTTGGTTCCTAACCCTACCCTCCATGAAGATGAACCAGGGCTCCTTGGAGACATGGCTGCCCTAGGTCCGTGGCAATGGGAGTAAAAGATAAGGCTGGAGCATTTTACTGTGCCAAAAAGCAAGGACATGCTCCTGGAACAAAGGGGGAACCAGTGAGGGAACAGAAGCCAGCTTGAAAAGTCTCCCGCTGGACAAACTGGGGCAATCTGAGTATTAAACAAGGGACAGCAGTGGACTGTTGCCACTGAGTAAAACAGGAACCCACAAGCCACAGTGACCCAGTAAAGCAACCAATAACCTGGACGTTGAATGAGAGACTGGACGTTGTCATCACAAAGCACCTCCGCCAAGATCTTTATCATCTATGAAGGGGAAAGAGGAGCTCTCCCACGGAGAAGGCTGGCAGACAGCTCCTGAGTCAGCAGACCCAAGTGGACACCTTTGTACGGGACACAGGGGATGGGAGGCCAAACCCAGAATGCGGAGTGACCCAGGGCAGAGCCCAGGGGACTCGGAGCCAATGACTGAGTTCTCACTCTTGGGAGAACTTTCTGGCCTTTGCCCCCGCGGGAACTAGGGCTGGCTGGAGAGGATCAGTTTCCCTCTCTCGGGGGCAGGCCAGCGCTGCGGCTGGAATGGGGGTTAGGGGCTCTGGGCCAACTGTGGCCACTCCAGCCATACAGGGGTCCAGTGATCACCAAGCTGCTTATCAGCAAGCTCAGAGGTGCTCAGGGGTGACCTGTGGTGTGAAACTATTCTAATATTCTTTGTGATTATGTTAGGTGAACCCAGGGCCGTCGAGGGAAGGAAATCCACCTCAGGCACCCACTGTACGGTCACTCCAGGACCACGATGCGGGTGGCCGGGGTGGGACACAAGGGTCAGGCTGGTGACGTCCCTGCTCCTTCCCCTCTAGGCCCTGCCCTGTCGTCTGCAGGAAATGTTGACACTGCAGGTCCCTGTGTGCCTGAGTGAGCAAGCAGGACACCACACACCTTCCCCGGGGCAGAGGGCTCGCCGGGAGTCCTGACCCCAGGACAGTAGGACAGCACCATGTCTGGGGCCCCGCCCATTCCAGAACAGGGACTGTTCTGGGCCACTTGAGTAAGGGCCCCAGGGGGGCCATTTCCAGGCCCGTCCCAGTGCGGGCACAACCACCCAGTGCAGCTGGGGGGCAACACCAGGACAATTCCTGCCTCTGCAGTGCCCTGTGGGCTAGGCCTGGCCCCTCACACTCGGGCACCCCTGGCCTGGCAGGGCTGACCCTCCCCGCAGCCCACCCGCAGGTGCTCCCGTCTGCCTCTGCTCCAGGCTGAAACCCCACTATCTCCCCAAGTCCCTGAACCTCGGAGTTGCCCCCAAACAAAACATCCAAGTGGCTGGGCCGGCCGCAGTGAGGAGCACGGGACAAGACACAAATAAACGTGGCAACTTCCAAACGGAACATTACAGACTAGGGTGACTGCAGCGTTCACTCCCCCGGGCTCTACCCCGAGACCGCGGCTCCGTCCAGGGCTGCCGCTGGCACCTGGCACCAGTGACCAGGGAACCCTGCTCTCTAACCAGGCCCACTAAGGCCTGGGGATCCTTCACGCGTGTCGGCCCAGCCGGTCCTGTCACGTAACAGAACGTTCCGGTCAGGGCTTCCTGACCACCACAGCCTCACAGGGCTACCGAGCACGTGAAACGTTGTGAGCACAACAGAGGAAGTGAGTTTTTAATTAATTTAAATTTAAAAACGGATACTCAGTTCTTGGAATACTCTTAATTAGTGTGTGGAACAGCTTGGATATGTGATTCTACTTTTTCAGCTGTAAATTTAATATATTCTAAATATGGATCAAGTATTACTATTTTTTGGATCAAGTATTTCTGATGAAAATTTAGCATCTGGGTTGGGATGTACTGTAACGGAAGCTACACACTGGAAGACGTAGTATGAAAATACTAGAACATCTCTTACTTTTTCTACTGTTACATATTGACATATTCGGGATATACGGGGTGAAGTAAAGTGCATTAACCTGGTTTGCTTTTAACATGGGTACTAGAAAGCGCCCAGCTACCCAAGTGGCTTGTACCCTGACTCTCCGGGCCGGCCTACTCCACCACCTTATCAGGTGCTGTGGGCTTCTTGAGGGTGAGGGGGACAGCCGCTGCCATCAACGCCCCAGCTGTCACCTGCAGAGCTGACCCTGAGCCGGGGCTGGAGGTTGCCCTGAGGCGGGGTCTCATAGGAGCTTATAAGACCCCCAAAAAACCAAACCCGTCACCGCTGAGTCTATTCCTACTCATAGTGACCCTACAAGACAGAGCTGAACTACCCCATAGGGTTCCTGAAGACTCAGGTGCGCCTGACCCCAGCCATGGTGTTTTCAATCGCCTCACAGGCATGTGAAAGCTGGACAAGAATAAGGAAGACTGAAGAAGAACTGGTGTATCTGAATGACGGTGTTGGAGATGAATATTGAATACACCACAGACAGCCCAAAGAACAGACAAATCTGTCTTGGAAGAAGTACAGCTAGAATGCTCCTTAGAGGCACGGATGGCGAGACATTGTCTCACGTACTTTGGACGTGTTATCAGGACGGAACAGTCCCTGGAGGAGGACACTGTGCTTGGTAAAGGAGAGGGTCAGTGAAAAAGAGGAAGACCCTAAACAAGATGGACTGACACAGTGGCCGCAACAATGGGCTCGAGCATAACAAGGATTGTGAGGGTGGTGCAGAACGCGGCGGTGTTCCGTCCTGCTGTACACAGGGTTGCTGTGAGTCGGAACTGACTCCATGGCACCTAATAACAATAATCTTTATGGAAACCGACTGCCACATCCTTCTCCTACAGAGCAGCTGGAGGGTTCCAACCGCAGACCTTTCAGTTACCAGCCAAGCATTTAATCTCTGCGCCCTGAGAAAAATAAATTCCCGCACGCGAACCTGGCTCTTGATGGAAACGAACATCCCATCCCCGTCCGCTTCACCTGAACCAGAACTTTTCAACGCACAGATGGACACTTCTCTCAAAGGCAACTCTGCAAACTCTGCAAAGTACTTACTTCCCAAATAAAGGCAGGAAGTGCAAACCCTGTAAACTCAAGCCTGGTGGAGAGGCAGACCTCAGTTGGGAGGCCTCCTTTCTCGACTGTAAAAGCACTACTCGCTGTTACTGAAACGCTGGCAAACCCACACTCTCCAAGGCCAGGCTGCTGCCGCGCACACGTCACCGTCTGCGTTCTGAGGAGTCTCCCAGTTGGCCGTGTCTACACTGCCATCACAGGTGCGGTGCTGACGGCATGGGGTTCAGCAGGCTGGGGCATGAACAACACGGAAGGCTTGTGAGCTTCCCCCATCACTGTGTCCCCATTCCTGAGCTGACAACGGCAGTCTGTGAGCTTGGTTTGTAAGCTCACTTTGGGGAAAGAAGCATAAACTCGGAACCGCGGACAGCCCTGGCTCTGCTCTTCCTTCTCCTCGGCCCCAACTCTGCCCCTCCGGCAGGGGCGCTCCACTGAGGCGGACTGAAGGGGCCTCCACCTGGGGGGAAGGGGGTGCTCACCCGCAGCAGTGCCTTGTGCCACCACCCCCACTGCAGAGGAGCCACGGACGAGCAAGAAGTCACCAGGCCTACATACATCTCCCGTCTTCATCTGCCTTGAACTCCAACTCTCAGGCACCAGGTGCCTTTCACTCCATCCCAACTTGCCTCCCCGTGCAGGGGAGGGGCCTCCACAGCGCCATCGCCATGATGGGGACAGGCTGCCTCTCTCCTGGGGCCCTGGCCCCTCATGGGGAGCAGCGGGGGGCTGCCCAATGGGGGCAAGAACCCGGGGAGAAGGGGTGGGGCCCAGGAGGCACACTAACTACAAGCCACAGGGGGGTTTAATCTAAAATCTCAGAGAAATACTTTTTATTACAAAAGTAAATGCATTGTAAACATTTAAACCCAAGTTCATAAAGCCGACAGTAAGCACGCCCCCGCCCAGACAACCCGTTAGCACTGTGGAGTCTCTCTTCCCAGGCTTCCTTCAGACACACGTGGGCACACTGTTTCCCACAGAACTGGATATAAAATACACACTGTTCAGGAACCTGCGCCTGTCATTTCACACAACCGGATGCCCCAGAAACAAGACTACTTCTGTGGGAGCCGCACATCACTTTATTTCATGGGTACCCCACAGGTGTGGGACCGACAGCTGGCAGGGGCTGTTAGGTCTGAGGAGCTGCAGTTCCCGAGCCGAGGCCACCACAGCCGCAGCCTGTGCTGTATCAGGGAAGGAAACGGTTTCCAGGACTCAGGCTGTCCACGAGGGTGCAGTCTCTTCTCAGTCCTGACCCTTCCTCTCCCCGCAATAAGTTAAGGCGCTGACTGGTACTCAAGTCTACCTGGCTCTGCTGCCCCGTCTGCCCCCAGCGGGCGGGCGTCACTGTTTGCTCTCCCGGATCCGTTTCTTTTTCTTCTTTGGTTCCTGGAACGTGGCCTCAACAGCCACCCTGGCCCTGACACGGGACTTGCCCCACCTGCTGCTGTGCGCCCCTCGCCTGTTGCGGGCCCTGCCCTGCTCTTTGGGGGCAGCCCCCTCAGGCTGCACACGGTCAGTCCTGCCCTTCCTCTTCCTCCTCTCGGTTCTGGAGCTCGGCGCCGGCCTCGGGCCTTCTGTTCCACCCTTCCCTGTTGGAACAGCAGGGCGGGGGGCTGTGAGCACGGGGTGTGCTTCACTGTGGTTCTGCAGGCGAGGGGGTCAGCACGGGGCACTCGGACGCATTCGCCACCTGGGGCAGACACTCGCCACCCGACACGTGGAGGCTCGCCAAAGCCACGCCCACCAGCCCAGGGCTCAGCAAATCACCAGTGCCGTCCCAGACAGACAGCAAGTCCCATGAGCCATCGGGCAGGCACAAAATCAGTAATGGCTCCAGACACAGCGGAGGCAGACTGGGGCAGACAGGCCTTCAGAAAGCCCCCCAGAAGGCCAGGTGGAGGAGAGAGGAGAGGGGAGCAAGGCACGAGGTGTGAGTGCCCAGTTCCAGCACCCGTAAGATGCCACCAGTCAGAGATCAGGCTGGAAAAGCCAAGACTACAGGCTCTAACCCAGTGGCTGCAGGCGGAGAGCGCGCAGCTCTGGGGGAGGCTCCCATGGCAGCGGTGCACCAGCTGGCTGAGAGCGCAAGGGCTGGCCATGTGTGACACCAGACAGCCTCCGTGGGGGAGGCGGTGCTAGCCAGAGAGGGGGTGAGGCCAGAACCCTTCAGAGGGAGGCCTTCAGGACGGGGCCTGCCTTATACACACAGGAGGACGTGTGGAGGGTCTCGCTTGGGGCAGGCAGGAGCTCTCACTCCTCCACACCTGGAACCCCCCACAGGCGCTGCCACCGCTCTCCCATTACCTGTGGGCACAGCCTAGGCCCGCTGTGGCAGCAGCCCGTGTCCCGCAGGGTCTGCAGTGGGCACGGGCCGGGGCGACGCGGCACGCTACACCCGAGTGAGGGGTCCACTCTTAACCACTCGCATGGCCAAGGACATGACAAGGACGGCCAAAAGGGCCTAAGGACAGTGAAAGGACAAGGCACAGGTGGGAGGGGCTCGAAGCGGGGAGACAGAGGGCCAGGATGAGAGGCCACCAGCCAGAAACGGCCACAGTGGACAGGACAGTCTTAGCAGACAACAGGAGGTGTGGAGAGGCCCAAGGGCCACGACCCAGCAGCAGAGCCCAAAGCCCCACAGCAAGCTCTGCACCCGCAGGATGCAGCGAGGGGCCCAGCTTAGGTGACGAGGACAGGGTGCACACAGGGCAGCCAGGACAGTGGGACAGCCTCAGGGAGACAGTGTCACACAAATACCTCACACACGTCATCAATACTGCGGGTCCTACCTTTCTTGTTCTGCAGCTGGGATTTGAGCAAACGCTTCTTCATCTTCCTCTCCAGTCTCCCTTCGTGCCGGTAGGCATAGACTTTCTCGGGGATGTCATCCTCAGGGAAGACGCCTGGGGAAGCGAGGCAGCTCATGGGGCGCCCCGAGGGAGGGCACTGATGCCTGCACGCCCAGTTTCCAGCAGGACCCAGCAAGCACCCCTCCCCACGTCACGTGAGCAAGAGCCCTCTTTTAGTACCCAGAGCAATTCCACCCCCCACAGCTAGGATCAGCCAGCTCAAAACGCACTGCCTGCACGAGGCCTGTCACACCTGGGAAACAGGCCTTACCTGGGGAGGGGCCCGTGGGCGTGGGCCACGGACCGTCCTAGATGCCGGCGGGCTGGGGTTACAGGCACAGATGCACTGCTCACAGCCCGGCAAACGTACACTAGTACTCACGCATGTCCCTGCACCTAAGCTCCACCCGGAACGTGCAGGGCCCAGCTCACAGCACGCACACTGAAGCGTTAGGGGCAGCACGCTCATGCCTGCCACTGACTCTGCACTGCATCAGACAGACTAGGGATCAGTGGACAGACAGGATAATACAAGGACAGCAGACGTTAATGGAAAAATCTAGGTGGTGAGTATACGAGCATTCACTGCAAAATCCTCTTCAACTCTGCTGTGTGTTTGGAAAATGTCATAATAAAGCGTCAAGAAAAAATGGTACGTCTTTAACCAGAAACCTCCTGGGAAGCTGTCCTCGAGAAGAATCCGTGGAGTCCCATGAGCTCCACATCCACACAGCAAACACCTGGCCTCGCTCCCTTCAGGGAGCCCCCCGCCCTGCCACCCAGGGCACACCAACTCCCACTCACACGCTCCTCTCAAAGAGAACCAGCAGGGCCCGCAACCTCAGCCCCGTCAGCGGTCAGCCTCCCAGCTGCCAGAGCCCACCCTGCCTGTGGCGCCGGTTCAGCTTATCTGAGAAGCGCTGAGCTAAAGCTAGCACCACGAGGGCACAGACCCCTCGGCCCACACCACCAGGCCTCTTCACAAACAGAGCTAACACGCAGGACCCCTCCACTCCCCGAGAACAAAGCTCCTCTGGAGGCAGCCGCCGGCCTGTGCGGCCGGGTCCTCACCTGCAGCGAGGTCCTGCAGCCTGGAGGGTGAGAAAAGGCGTCAGTCAGCACAGCCAGTCTGCAGGGGAAGGGAACCACACCCCACAAGGCAGTGATGCGGCTCCCCGCCAGGGGGCACTCAGAACCCCATGTCCAGGGACCCAGGCTGGTCCCAGGGGCTTGTCTGAGCTCTGAGGCGGGGCACCTCAGCCTGGGAAAGCCGCTTCCAAGGGGCTTCGGGCAAAGCAAAGGCACCGTCAGCAAACGATGTGGAGGCAATCAAAGGCAGGGGGAGGCAGTGCCGGCACCTCACGGCAAACACTCACTTCCGAACCACTTTGTAGAGCCGCTTTCTGTTCTGAGAAGGGGTGCTCTGCTGACTGGCCATCTCGAAGAGTCTGTTAGCAACCGCCTCATAGTCGAACTGTGTCAAAGGAAAGAGACCACCGGGCCACTGTCAGCCACCTTCCACCTGTGACACGGATGGACCCAGGGGGACCCAGACCCCATGCTGACGGCCCCCCGCCTCACAGAGTGCACCGAACCCCTATCATCCCATCTCCCGAGCACACACTGGCCGTCTGTCCACTGGAGACCAGGCACGACCTGGGCAGTGCTGCCCAACAGAGACATGGTAAGAGCCGAGAAGGCAGCCTCGCCTGTGAGTCTACATCCTCCAGAGCCGCATCCAAACAAGTCAAAACAGACACTAACCCTTCAAAACCAGTATAAGCTACTGGATAGCTTTTCAGTACCAAGTCTTAGAAACCCAGTGTCTATTTTCTGTTATGAAGGGACAGACAGCCCATGGGAACCAACCATTTGAGGACAGGGAGAAGGAGCCGCAAGCTGCCAGACCGGCCCACCCACGTCCCAGTTTGCCTACAGCCAGGGACCCGCTCCCTGAGGACATGGAGCAGCCACGCCCACGGGGGGGGGAGGGGGGATCCCGCCCACCACCTCACTCCACCCCACGCCCACTGGGGGAGGGGGGACCGTAAGGGGGCAGGTGTGTGAGTACATCTGGAATGGATGTACCTGAGGCAGAGGGCGGCTGAGGGGTGGTTGGCCTGGAAAGCCACCTGTCTGCCCGAGGCCCCTGGCCCTGGCCCTGCTCTCAGTGGCTCTGTACGCCTGCAGATGCCAAGGGCTTGGGGTACCTACCCACCCCCCAAAGCGAGCCTGTCGTTCAGGTGAGCGTCTCTGAGTCAAGACACCGAGGTCACCCTCCCCAGCCTGCCCACCTGCAGCGCGGTGCCAGCGCCATCCTCGTCATTCTCTGCAGCTTCCTCTCCTGTCTTGGGCTCGGGCCTGCGGATGGAGCCTGGAACAAGAGACCCCGTGAACTCCCAGAGCCACACCCAGAGTGCGGGCCCAGGCTGGCCCCTGGTGGGGGTGCCAACACAAGCACCTGTGAGCCAGGACCCATGGCCTCATCAGGCACAGCAGAAGGCAGCACCCAACGGCCTCCCACGCACCGTGATCCGGGGGACAAGGGGCACTTGCGGGGGGGTGGGACCAACCGGGCAGAGAGTGAAAGACGGGTCAGGAGTGAGTGTGACAACCCCAGGAGTGAGGAGAGCAGCCACAGGCAGCCAGGGGCTGGGCTGGATCAGGCCTGTGGGGGGCGAGGCTCACAGGAATCTGTCCAAGACAACAGGCAAGGGTTACAATGAACGAGTCAGTAAGCAAGATGCCAGGAAGTGACTTGTGCTGCAAGGACACCAGCCAGGCAGGTTCTGTCAGAGGGGTGAGGAGCTATGCTTCTAGACAGGGAGTCAGGGCACACCCGAGTGACAGGTGAGCAGAGACTGAGGGGGAGGGGCGGCCTGGGCAGACACCTGAGAGACCCCAGGTGAAGGGACAGGAGCGCACCCAGGTAGGGGACTGACTGTGCAAAGGAATGGTGGATCCCTGCAGAGAGGGGCTGAG